CCCCCCCCCCCCCCCCCCCCCCTCATCTCTCTTCCTCTTCCATAACACGGTTGGGGTATAAACATATATATCTCTGTTTTTTGCCAATCTCAGCAAGCTATGTGGACACCTATATAGGAAATCACATATTCACTTTCCAATTCAAATATATCATCACATTCAAAGGTTTATAATATAACATGATAAACATACCGGTATAAATAATCAGTAAACACTATGACTGGATGTAGGTTGATCTGAGATTAAAGTTATTAATTATGTATCACAATTTTCCTGTGCTGGATTTGAATACAAATTATATTATACATGTACCAGATACAAAATATCACATGCATCTCCACTTATACAATTTCTTCTTTCTAAATTTCAGTGTAAGCAAATGAATTTTGGCTCAAGACAAAAACAGTCAAATTTCGACTAAATTTAAGCAAACTGAACATTCTATGAGGCTTTCAATACAAAATCTATATCAATGAAAAATTGCCCCATCTCTACATATTGATGGGTTATTCGGAAATTAGACGAGCACATTCCAAAATAATACCGGAAAAAGCGAGGTGGATCTGCTTTTTTATGCAGTTAGTCACTTAAGTTTTACGAAATTGATTAAAAAACAGAAAAGAAAAAAAGAATTGATCACAAAATGAAATAACAAGTGATATATATATATAAGTGAGTCCTTAAGATAAGGTAAATGTTGATTTACATGACATTTTATGTCATGTCCTAGGAGTTGAAACACCTCCATCATTACTTCAAGGGACGGCTTTTAGATACAACTTGTGTTAAAAAGGCACATAATCAAATACATTATCCTATTCCTGGTTCATTGTACAACCAACTGTATATAACATCTGATTTCATGGATTTCTTTCTTTAAAACAGTTGTTTTATGCATATGTAAAGAAAAATCATGTTAAATATATATAAAGAAAAGTTATGTTAAATATAAAAGTATAATAGATGGACAATTCCAATCATGCATAATCAGGTACATCTCGGTCTTTTGGTTGTTTGATTCAGATGGATTTCCTTTTTGAATTACTGGTTGATGCATTTTTCCCCCCAAAACAATTAACAAAATCAATTTAAACTTTTAAAACATTTATACAATGCCCTATACTAATTTCTTCAATCAAATTATTGCATGAGTCTTCCAAAATATACAAAAGCATACAAATCAACTTATTCACAACTTTTAGAGGTAAATCTCAATATGATGAGTTCACATCGTAAGATCATGGGACCTGTTGCAATGCATGTATTTGTCTTCTCTTCACAGTCATTTTACAGATATAAAATACCATTTTGCCATTTTGTGTTTTGACAATCAGTTACACATGTACAAGTTACAATAAAATCTCATGATATGTTATATGAATCCCTCTCCGGCGAGAGTTCAGGACTAGACAATCTGACTGGTTCACCGTAGGTCCTACCAAACAAGTCAGTACAAGGGCTAGATAGATATCACCACGGTAACTAGTTCCTAATTAATTCCATACACTGAGTTTCTCCTTGTAACAATGCATGTACAAATCCTGGTTGTGTAAGGAAACTTTCCACTGGATTCTCTAGCAACCGATTCTTACAGGGATAAGTTTGACTTTGTTCCATATCAACTATCTCCAGAATGTAACATGGGTAAGTTTCACCGGTTTCCCTGGTAACTAGTTCCTGGTTATTGTCAAGCACTAAGTTTCCCTTGAAACAATACATATACAAATGTTGGTTGTGTAAGGAAACTACTGGATTCCCTAGCAACTGATTCTTACAGGGATAAGTTTGACTTGATTCCATAGCAACTATCTCCAGAGTGTTACATGGGCAAGTTTTGCTCGGTTTCCTGGTAAATATTTCCAGAGTGTTACATAGGTAGGTTTCACTCGATTCCCTGATAAATATTTCCAGAGTTTTCCATGGGTAAGTTTCACTTGATTCCCTGGTAAATATTTCCAGAGTGTTACATAGGTAGGTTTCACTCGATTCCCTGGTAAATATTTCCAGAGTGTTCCATGGGTAAGTTTCACTCAATTCCCTGGTAAATATTTCCAGAGTGTTACATGGGTAAGTTTCACTCGGTTCCCTGGTAAATATTTCAAGAATGTTACATGACCAGGTTTCACTGGTCTCCTTGGTAACCATGACATGACCCTAACAGTTTGCTGTTGATATGATGCTCCCCTCAGACAGTATAAACCCTCTCTATGTTCATGGACACACTACTACACTGCTTGATGACAGAGACAGCATCGTCGTGGTGGATCTTGGTGAAGTCATGGCCATTCACCTAAAACAAGTCGAGGGTTAATAATTGTATCTAAAGAAAATGGCAAATATTGGAATTTTTCATATTGAGGAAACAAATAAAAATACTAGATCAATTAGATTTGATAGTTTTGACAAGCACAGTCGAACCTGAGACCACCTCTGTAAAGGGACCACTTTAAAAACTCAATATTACATCTATTTTCATGCTAACCGAACCTGTACCGAGAAACCACCTGCAAGAAAAGACAATTTTAAGGACTTCCCGAAGGTGATAGCTGTATGCAACTAATGGTCATGAATCCCCTTTCAATAAGTACATGTGTATAAGTTACTTTATACAGCCAAGATAGCAGGAAATCCTTCTCGGGATTGGGCCGTTCAAATCTTCATCTTAACAATTACAACATGGCACATTACAAGACTGACATCCTCTTTGTATACATTCCAAATATACATGGATATACTTCGCCCCAATTTTTTTAAGACTTGTGAAATTAACCCTTACATAAAATTTTAGATATGTTTATGTATAGATTTCATGCTTCTTTAAATGTCCCTTATCTATCTAGGCCACTGTTCATAGTAATTAACTAGTTTTACACCTTTTACAGACTGATATTCTCCGGAGACCTAGTGTTACCAGGTGGTAGAAGTTATTTACAGCCAGGTATATCAATGAATAATGTACCTAATAGGGATGTACTCTCTTACCTCGAGTTGTAACTCTGTCCAGACAAAAAATATCCTTACCCACCAATCAAGCTCAGAATTAATTAATATTACAAACATCACCGTTGTGGTGAATGCTAATGATCTTCCTCAAAATAAGACAAAGAGACAGAGGAGGTCAATGTTTATAGTATAAACAGTAGCTATATACGTTCACCAAAATTGTCAGTACATGTACATACCTCCAGAATCTTGTCACCAGGGCTAAGTGACATAGCTGCGGGTCCTTCGGATTGAACTTTTGTCACAAAGATACCCTGTAACGAAAGAAAACAAACTGTTAGAGCACAGCTATGTAGAAACACACGTGCAGAGTCACATTAAATAAAATGCTCCGTAAACGCTCATTGTGGCATTAGACTTCAATGTCACATCAAACTTAGGGGTTGATTTTGAGTATTTTTACAATATTTTGGTTTAGATGATCGATCTTACAAAGAGATCGAGGTTGACCAGTGTTGTTTTTAATAAGAAATTGTGATATTGTATATATATGCTGCTATACATCAGTACCTTATAGATAAAGAGAGAAAAAAAGGAAATATGGTCAATTCCGTTTATGTGAAAAATCAAGTACAAGTTAAAGAAGATCAAACACTTGATAGACAGCCAAGTTGCCCTGTAAATGTTTGTAATTGTAAAGTTTTGAATTTATTAACTCATCTCATACGGGGAAACAAGCTTACTACCAACATGCTGTGTATACTTGTTCACTGTGTCCTTGGGTAAAGTTTGTCTCGTGAGTAAACTGTTGGAATATGCCTATTACAAACTATCTAACGGTCCTAGGCGATATATCTTTTCTGTAAATTATTCTTTCACTTAACATTTTTAGAAGTTCACATGCAAACTACTTATACATTTATTTATTTATTGAAAAAAAAAAAAAAAATGAACTCTATCAGAAAATTAACTCCTGTAAATATTTGAAAGACTAAGTAAATGTGTCACATGCACCACACCCTAAATATGCACACAACGGTTACCATGCCAACGGTCCTGGTGGGGGGAATTAGGAGGTGCTGGGGAGTGATTACAGGTACCACAGGTACCGGACATGGTCACATGACGTAACATAATGGGGCATGGTTACAGGTACAGGTGGACATGGTCACATGACGTAAATAAACAATGGGGCGTGGTTACCAGTACAGGTGGACATGGTCACATGACGTATTTAAACAATGGGGCGTGGTTACCAGTGCAGGTGGACATGGTCACATGACGTAAATAAACAATGGGGCGTGGTTACCAGTACAGGTGGACATGGTCACATGACGTAAATAATCAATTAGGCGTGGTTACCAGTGCAGGTGGACATGGTCACATGACGTAAATAAACAATGGGGCTTGGTTATCAGTACAGGTGGACATGGTCACATGACGTAAATAAACAATGGGGCGTGGTTACCAGTACAGGTGGACATGGTCACATGACGTAAATAAACAATGGGGCGTGGTTACCAGTACAGGTGGACATGGTCACATGACGTAAATAAACAATGGGGCGTGGTTACCAGTACAGGTGGACATGGTCACATGACGTAAATAATCAATAAGGCGTGGTTACAGGTACAGGTGGACATGGTCATGACACATGACATAAGTAAACAACAGAGATACATTAGCATGCAGTACATACAAAGCCAATTCCAGAAAACAACACATCAAAAAGCTACCATACACAGAATCATTACCACAGCAGTGTACATATACATCAAGAGGATGGTCTAAGAGAAATTTCTAAGGTTTTTTCATACAAATGGTAAAAATAAAAATAAAATTTAACTCCACGTTTTCAGATTTAACTGCAAAATTTTTCCTTCAAAAGTTGGCAATTATGACACTATGTTACTTTGAATTTTTCCATACAACGCTTTCACTTCATGAAATCAAATCCGATAAGTTATTCTTACACTCAAGTTGTCTTGAATATTCTGATTTTTAATGTAACCAGTGTTTTAGTGGGCAACTGTTTAAGTAAAACGTATTATCAATCCCAAAAACAGATGAGCTTCGACCACAGCACTACAACACATATAGAGTGAGTTTGTCTCCACACAACAGTCAGGTAACATTAGGGATTAGGTCTGTAATTATACAACACTGAGGGTGTGTTAGGGGGTCGGGTCACAGCACCCTTCCCCCGGGGCTCACCACAGGACGGATTCCTGGGCTCCCAATGCAGTTCTACATATGTATCGTCCATGGCCGCTGCTGTAACGTTAGACAGCTACAGGGAAAGAAAGCATGGATACTCAAAGCAAAGGCCTTCAGCAAAAATAATAACAGGAGAAAGTTAATGCTAGCTTACATTCCAGCTTTTATGAAACAAAATATCGAAATGGAGTTACCTCCCTTGACAAATTTCATAATTTCAAAAAAAATGTTAATCATTTAAAAATGATAATTCCATATTCATGGGAAAAATACCAAATCATTACCTTAATATTGTAAACAGAAATGAAAAAATAATGAAATGTGTGTTAAAAAGGAAAGCTGAAAATACATTTATTCTAAGCGATGCTCTTTCATGACAGAGTCATTAATTCTCTAAGAAACACTAGTTTAAGAAGAATACAGCCTAAAAAAGAATATACATGTATAAGCAAAACGCTTATATCAATAAAGCCTGGTTGTTAGTAACAAAGCAAGCATTAGCTACAGTTGTATGAACATGCTGCACAGGGTCAATATGAGCAAAATAGCGAAAAACCAGATGCACATGCAATCCCAACGATGTAGTGAAATAGAAACAACCATTAAACTTTTGTAGTCTCGACGTTCAATTAGCTGTTCCGGTTAACTTCCCCATAGGTGTCCATTAGTTGTCATTCTCCCAAAAAGCATGTCTTACTGTGATGTGGCCACTTCCACAGCCCAGCAGACAATTTTTTTCCGACACTTTTAATATTTCAATTTATCAAAAGAAAACCACAAAAACCCACCTTATACTGATTTCAGTCAAAGTGTTCTTTTGGTCAATGTTCCTAATATCTTAATTCAAACATACCAAAATAATATGGGAACTTTGCTCCTGATCAAATGTGTACTATGACCTTGAGTTCATGACAAGGTCAGATGATTAAAACTCACTTTATCTCCCGCTCTGTAGGGGTTACCGTGGGCACCGTATCCTCCCGCGATACTGAACCCTAGGCCAGGATTCTTTTTTATAGTCACACGGAACTGAAAATATAACATCCTCAAACCGTCACAGATATCAACTCCGACCCCGCACCTACACATTAGTGTCAACAAAACAAATCCTCTAAACAGCAAAACCAAACTCAAATAATTATTGCAACGTTCACTCATTCGCCCCTGAAATTTCACAATGAACTGTTCCAACCTTTGAATTGGAAGAGTCCAAATGTGTCTTCGGGGGTGAATGAGTTAAAACAAGTCACCACAGGTATCTAGATACCATTGGATCACAGCTATAAAGTTATCAATGAATAAAAAAATTAGGTGCAAACAAAACCAAAGTTAAAACCACATGTTACGTGTACAATGTTATATAATGATCTACGATGATTGGTTTACAAGAACAATACTCCTGATAGCCAAAGGTTATATCTACAAATGAAGCTGAAATAGGGTTGGTGTATAAATACGCAAAACTCACTGTATCGGTTTTGCTTTCGATGTGTATCTTAGTTTGTGTGTTGTCCGGAGGTGACCATCAATCGGATATTTAATTTACATATGCAGTCCAAACAAAGTCATCATTTATCATTTATCAAGAAGAGGAATAGAGTATGGAATGAGACGCTTACAAAACAGGACGGTATATCTTTACACAGCACAGGCTGGTTATAGGGAAAGCTTCATTTGATAGATGTTCCCGTTAAATATTACACTGTTTATGAGACATGCGTTACGGTAAAGCTGGTCACACTGCTGTCTGTCTATGTTCTGTATACTGAAGCTCTAAAGCACTCCTCGCCCTTACAAATCTCACCTTATCTCCCTTCAGGTCGTTCTGGATGATTTTGATTGGTTGGCGAGATTCGCGGCTTTGGTTGGGATTTGTTGTCCCCCCTGATTTGGGGGACGCCCTTACAGGTGTGGCGTACGGTGTGTAGGGGTACTGTTGTCCTGGTGACGTGGTATACCGGGACTCCTGAGGGTAACTATAATCTGTAATGGAAGGAAAGAATATTTAAGTAAAAATCATCAGTTACTGCTACATTGAGAAAGCAGGAAAACAGAAGATTGCCCATCAAGAGTTTCTGAATAGATGTGACAGGCCACATGTAGTTTGGTAGTCAAGTAGTACAGTTAACCAGATCACAGGTCATTTACTGAATTTCGGGAAGAGAAAATCATAAATCTACAATGCTACTATTTGGAGGGGGTTCCCCAAATCTCCTTACAATAAGGCCATCTATATATTTACAGAGGTTTTCAGCTGCCTGAGTATTTAGTGGGGCGTAATCTTAGTATTTGAAAGGGGTGTCATCTACCTGAGTATTTAGAGAAGTGTAACTTACCGGGGTATTTAGAGAAGTGTAACCTAGCTGAGTATTTAGAGAAGTGTAACCTACCGGAGTATTTAGAGAATTGTAGCTTACCTGAGTATTTTGAGGGGGTTTCGGCAGGCTTGTCAAATTGTTGACCATGGTAGTACCCACTGTCTGAGGAACTTGATACCTGAGAGGTGGGCTCTGAGTTGCTGTTCTCGAATGCATTCACATCCTCGTAATTTGACATGTTTGCCACACGACCTTCACTGCCATCCCCGTACGACCCCTGAGGCACGTGAATGTATGACCCGGAGGGAGGAGGCTGGTCATACTTTTGGGGAGTGTCAAACGGAGAGTTTCTATGACTACTGTGTTCCCGGCTGCTGTAGCCAGACTCCCGCGGCGAGTCTCTGTGTTCATCAAAGGAACTCGACACCGGAGTCCTGGATCTGTCTGGAGACGCGGACATGGTGGACGGATCACTGTTATAGTTGAACTTGTAATCATCATGTGAGGTGCGGGAGTCGTTGTGTGAATCAGACAAACCGTCTGAGCAGTTTCTGTCATTGTAATTAAAGTCTTTCTCCAGTTGTCGGGTTGCATTCCTGCGGCCGTAGTCCACATTCCCAGGCATCCTGTTCTTATCAGCATATTTATCAGATTCCGTCTTGCTCTCCATCTGTTCCTGGATTGTCATTCCCGACAGTTTCTGGTGCATAGTGGGAGAGTTATTTCCCCTTCGGTCATAATTTAATACGCCGTAAGGAGAATTCCTGTTTGGTGTGGGAGGGAGTTTCTTCTGTCCTGGAGATGAGACATATGGGGGTGCTGGTTTGTATGGAGGAGGCAAACCATTGCTTTGATTGGACTGAAATAGAAAAAGGAAACTCATCAAAAGTTTGACAACTGAAAATTTAATTATAATCCAGCTAATGGCAATGTTTTAGAAAGTATTGAAGTATGATTTAAAGGTACTTACCGGAGTTGATCTATTGGAATATTCCCTTGTGTTACTACTGTTGTAAATATCCCTCCGTTGGTCTGACACTCGCACATCACCGCCGTCATGGCTGCCACTAGCACTATTTGACCTTGACCTTTCAATACCCCCTGGTGGGAAGCCCGGAGGAGGTTCAGCAGTTGTGGGAGTACTTTGGTCAACAATCTTACTTCTGTGAAACTGACTAGGGGAGGGAGGGGGCAACGTTCTACTAACAGTGTGTGAGGGAAGGGGTAAGGACCGGTCCACACTGTGTGGGGGATGGGACATTGACCGGTCAATATAATGTTCAGAATTCCTCATCATAGGTTTTTGGCTGTCTTTATAAGTATCACTACCCATCCTGTGCATACTGTCCAAGTACATGTCACTGCCTTTTATACTTAAATGAGGATTTGAAGTTTTATGTGGCATTTGATTAAGCTGTCTTTGAGACTCATTTAGATCATACGGAAGACTGTTTGCATTGTGTTGTTGATGCAATGGAACTCCTCTGTAAGCAATGTCTCGCGAATCTCCACCGTGGCTTTGATAACAGTCAAGGTCACTTGAGTACCCATCCCTTCCCTTCCGTCGCTGTGCTCGAGACTCGCGTTCACTCTCATAACCACGACGCTCTTGCTGTTGGGTAAGAACCTGCTGTCTATGAAACCTAGCCACTTCCGTCTCACTACGATATCCTGTGTCGGAATCGTAGTCTCGTGTTCGATGTCGGCCTCCACGATGTTGGTTACTATGATAACTTTTCCTGTTATGATATGTTGGGTCAACTGATCGCCCAAACATACTGTACTGAGAAAATGATGCCTCCAAGTCTTTTGGGTTTACGTAAGCAAATCCCGGCATGCCCCTAGGGCCACTTTGGTCCGAGGAACTCTTTGCAGTCACTCCGATTGACTCGGTAGTTCGAGTCGACACACCTACCGATGATACACCCACAGACTTTACCGACACGTCGGGGTTGGAGCTGTGATGAGACAGTTTAGATGAGTCTCTGGTAGAGAAACCTCCATCATCTTCGTCAGTTTTGTACTTCCTAGGAGAGAGTTTACCTGAAACACAAGATAATAAAATGGATGCAAGAATTTAAATATTAACATTATTCACTCAATAATGCAGAATCAAATTTTAGCCCATCTGTAAAATTGTACATTCATATAATAATGCAAAGAAAACCTAAAGCAACAATTTTAACTCATTCACCCCTGAAATTTCATAATGAACTACTCCAACCTTTGAATTGGAAGAGTTCAAATATGTCTTCAGGGGTGAATGTGTTAAGACATACTGCTCAACAATTATTCAAGGGTGGAGTCTAACTAACAAAGGATAGATCAATCATACCTCCTTTCTTAGGGCTGTCCGGGCGACTGATGGCTGACATACTGTCACCTCTACGACTAGACTGGGAGAGGTCAAGGACAAAGGTCTCCGGTGAACTGTGACGATTCTGCTGCATTCGAGCCTTATCCTTGGCCAATTTCTCCTGCAAGAGCAATGCAACTTTGTAAAAAAATTATTCAATAATTCAATTTGCTTTCTTTTTCTAGTATCACATTTCCTTAAGAGAATGAAGATCTTATTTCTGAGTGCAGTGTTGGCTCCTTATAAAATGGTATTCTCATACCAGAGAGATGTAAGGACATAGGAGTATTGTAGGTCTCTGTAGAGGTGGCAGGTAGAATGTATTTTAATTTCTATATTCACTATTCTTAACCATTGTTTCCTGTAGAAGAACAGCTGAACATAGGTATGTATGAGGAAGGACTGGTTGGGGCACATGATGAGAGAAGGTGTAGAATGAAGGATGGCTTGAAGATGACTTGTGGAAGTGTGGATTGGGGATGAAAAGGGGGATATGGGAAAGAGTGGGTTAGGAAAGGAGCAGAGGGGTGGGTTGGGGATGGAAGGACTGGAAGGGTGGGTTGGGGATGGAAGGACTGGAAGGGTGGGTTGGGGATGAGGATGGTAGGTTTGGTTTAGTATTGTTTAACGTCCTATCAACAGCTATGGTCATTTAAGGACGGCGAGGATGGTAGGACTGGAAAGGAGGGTTGGGGATTGAAGGACTGGAAGGGAGGGTTGGGGATTGAAGGACTGGAAGGGAGCGTTGGAGATTGAAGGACTGGAAGGAAAGGTTGGGGATTGAAGGACTGGAAGGGCGGGGTGGGGGTTGAAGGACTGGAAGGGAGGGTTGGGAATTGAAGGACTGGAAGGGAGGGGTGGAGGTTGAAGGACTGGAAGGAAAGGTTGGGGATTGAAGGACTGGAAGGGAGGGGTGGAGATTGAAGGACTGGAAGGAAAGGTTGGGGATTGAAGGACTGGAAGGGAAGGTTGGGGATTGAAGGATTGGAAGGGAGGGTTGGGAATTGAAGGACTGGAAGGTCTGAAAGGGTAGGTTGGGGATGGAAGAGTGGGTTGGGGGTGAGGATGAAATGTCTGCAAGGATGGGTTAGGGATGGAAGGGAAGGTTTGGGATGGAAGTGAGGGTTGAAGGTGAGGATGAAATGTCTGGAAGGATGGTTTGGGGATGAGAATGGAAGGTCTAAAAGGGCAGGTTGGGGACGAGGATGGAAGGACTGGAAAGATCGGCTGGGAATAAGTTGGCAAGAAATGTTTCAGTTATTGGACACCACTGGTGAAAATGTGGGAAGGGTAGAGGGAGGCAAGGAAGAACAGGAAAAGGAAGTGTTAATGACGTTATAAGTGGGAGACGTACCCTGTCATACTTATACAGTCGGTGGGTTTCCTGTAGGGTGGGAGAGGAAGGTTTAGCTATCCTGGCCTCGCGCAGTCTGACATCACCATGGTCAGCTGAACCGGACACAATGCCATTCCCACTCTACAAAACACAACACCAGTTACGAGGGTATTGGTCGGTTAGTATGGTAAGGGGTATAACCACTCGGGCTTGGGATACGGAATAACGTACTAGTTCTTCCTATGTTTTTCCTGAACTTGACTGAAAAAAAATCACCAAATACTCAACACCTGCGAAACTCATTTTATTTAAATACATTACATTATGTACTCATTTCCACAATTTTTGAAAGCCATTATTTGGTTCAACAAATTATCATAGGGGTTTGACACATCCATGTTTACTGTAAAAGTGAGAAATGTTAACACTACTTAGTTATACTTTGGCCATTTTTGTCTCAAATGAGAGGATGAAATCACAGTGCCCATTACACTGGAGGATTGGCAACATGAATGGCTGTTTTGACGATTGGGTGTTGTTATTTACGTCAAAAAGCATATTTTAATTCGGAACATATTTCGCAAACAGTTCTTACTGAATTTTTCGAAAACCCACTTTGAACATAACTTGACTACAAGAAAACATGGGGGGGGGGGTTCGCGCAAGCATGACCCCTATAGATTAGCAGCCCAAAGGGCCACCAATCCAAAATTATAATAAGCAGTGTTAATAAGTAAATATGGGCAAATTCAACACTGACCATCTTAGGATTTTACAGTCAGAGAGTGAAAATATTATGGTTTATAGAATATGGAGTAAGGATATAAAGTAAAAATCCTTGAACTATGAGGCAGAAAATTATATTGTTAAACTTTATTTTGAATTATGTATCAAGTAATCTACAAAGTTATACTGATCTGGAGAAACTGAGCAATGTTATTTACATGTATGATACAATGATAAAGATCCAGACATGACAACAACCAACACTTTAGATATGTATATGTGTGACACATGCAGAGAAATGGGAACGAAGCGTGAAAACTTCCACCACCATCAACAACATGCAGGTATTTATAGGGGTAGGATTGTCATGCTAACATAGTACATATCTCTACCCAACACCGAACAATTCATAAATCATTTGTTATTGTATGTACATGCACAATTGCTTTTAGTAAATCTTTATACACTTTCCCCTTTTTAACCCATAAAGAAATACCCGAACATGGTTTTCAACCTGTTCCAAAATTTTCATAATTTTCTTTCATTAGATATTTTCATATGCAACTCCATAATGCTGGTTTTTTTCAAAGTGCTTTTCTGATATTGTACAAATGTGTTGAATTAAGGAATGTGCACTTTGTAAATTCTGATGTATTCACGCATCAGTTTACACAAAGAATGTAAATTACATTTTAATATTTTACAACTCAATCACTGCTATATCTGACAAGTGTATTTAGATAGAGCTGTAATTCATTCTGCACTGAACAATAACTTTGAATATATTATAAAAAAATATACCCTAATAACTGCGTAAAAGGTACAGAGTTGGTTAAACGTAACATAAAGCACCCAGCACTATAGACAGCTTTTACTTGACATTGTAAATCTTGACAGTTACGACTGTTACTTTACAAATCTATCCACATTTGTATTTTCACCCCCACCGTAGTTGAGCACTACCTATGTACTGTAAGATGGTAGTTTTTATGAAATATTAAGGCGTACTTATTTACAGTATATTGTATTTGTGACATATCTCATAGAGCCTTTGTACCACAACACAGCAGTTTCACCTCAGTTTGACCTCACTCGTACCCGCAATTTAAATCATTAGAAAATACAGGGCACTTTTGTGATGATTGATGTTGTATCTCAAACCAAAATATTCTTAAATTTGACAGTTCAATTATCATTCCACGGTAACTATGTAACCTATTTTCTATAATTGAGAGTTTTGCTATATTTTGCTGGATAGTAACGCAGTCATGATAAGGTCTCTGGGGGGCAGAGTATTCACAATACTTTAAAATGTTCCCAAAAGGTGTTTCCACATGTTAAGAGTGCTTTTATCATATTTAATCCAATTTTTGTTAGTACATATTCTAATAAATGATTAAAATATTTTTCAAAGCGTCCTTAATCCATCTCTATCCATCTGTTTGTGGACGAGTACCGGAGTACATGCAGTGATTTGTCCAAAGCAGCTCTACCAACCGTGCTATATTAGAGACATAGATCCTAGGTAACTATAAGGTATCACCTCTAGACTTAACAAATATTCACCTCCGCAAAGTCAACTCTGATTTACAAGAGTTGTATATCATTATCAAGGATTAACCAGGCCTTAATACAACCCTACTTCTGCACTCATCCTCAATTTGATACACTTAAGCTTTTGCCCCATTACAAGTCTGGGACGTGACGTGATCATCAACCCTGACACCAGGTGGCGTACCTCTCTGTCAAACCCCTTATTATCTTCTCCGCCTCTCCATGGCCGTCCATCTCCTGTAAGTTTCTGGCGGACGGCGAGGTTGCGAGCATGCCGAATCTTTTCTCGCATCTCTTTGGGATACGGGGTGGGACACCTGACTAGCTTGCCCTAGAAACGAGGTCATGGGTTATGACATAACATTCAACATAGTTAGTAACCAAGGTAACCAATTAATTAGTATGTGCAACAAAACATCATGCTGCTCATTACCAGTGGTTGCTGTAGCTTGTGTTACGCAGCAAGGCCAGCCTTAGTAACTTACATCAGCACACTTCCGTTACCATGACAACACAGTTCATTAAGGTTTTTATGGTACTTAAATTGATTAGCTCAAGTTACATGAATGATGAAATTACAAAATTAAAATTAATTTTGAATGATGACTTTTTCATCCTTTGACTGAAATTGAATTAACATCAACAGAAAGGATTTTGTAATTTGCAAAAACATGCCCATAATAGGAGGTTAAAAACAGGCGCCATATCTGGGTAACAGTAGGAGGGTTCAATAACACAGAACAAGGGGACATAACTGGGTAACAAACATGCGTCTTCATGATCATCAAAACATGCATCAGAAATGTTGTGGGCAGATATCACGAAATTACAAAGATAAAGGCATGTATTTAAAATGTAAATTGCATTCCCTTTGCTATTCAACCTACATCTATCAATCATTCAATCATCTATCATTCAATAATACAATATGCAAGCTGCAAAAGATATAATTCCAGTGAATGAAATATCAGCTAGTGGTGCAGATTATACTGTACAAGTATATACATCCCATAATACTACATGGCTAAAGCTACAGTATACTATACAGGATACAGGACCAGTCAATAGTAGGTACAGTATACAGTAGGTAAGGGACATATATTGCTTACAGCTTTACCTATTGTAACCAATCTGGCAGCATCAACATATATATGGCGGATTTTATAAAGATAAGGTGTAAAAACTTTGGAAAAAGGATTTTGTATAATTGTCGTAAGGAAACAACACGTAAGGACATTACACCAGACGGAGGGATATAGACGAAGGGATGGACTAGTGACACGGGGGTACTTACATCCTCATCCAGTTCCTCTGTGAACTCAAAGTGGATCTGCTGTCTCTGCTCACGTTCCTCGTCCCAGATAGAGGCGTGGAAACTGTCCGTGTCTCCCCCTCCATTGGGGTCTCCTAGATAACATAACACACTCTTTATACATCTACACAGGATATAGCAATGGTAGTGTTAGTGTCTGTCTCTAGTAGACCTGAAGTTGTATCGAGTCGATGAATAAACTGTCCGTGTCTCCCCCTCCATTGGCGTCTCCTAGATAACATAACACACTCTATATACATCTACACAGGATACAGCAATGGTAGTGTTAGTGTGTCTCTAGCAGACCTGAAGTTGTATAGAGTCGATGAATAAACTGTCCGTGTCTCCCCCTCCATTGGGGTCTCCTAGATAACATAACACACTCTATATACATCTACACAGGATACAGCAATGGTATTGTTAGTGTTTGTCACTATCAGACCTGAAGTTGTATAGAGTCGATGAATAAACTGTCCGTGTCTCCCCCTCCATTGGGGTCTCCTAGATAACATAACACACTCTATATACATCTACACAGGATACAGCAATGGTATTGTTAGTGTTTGTCACTATCAGACCTGAAGTTGTATAGAGTCGATGAATAAACTGTCCGTGTCTCCCCCTCCATTGGGGTCTCCTAGATAACATAACACACTCTATATACATCAACACAGGATACAGCAATGGTAGTGTAAGTGTCTGTCTCTAGAAACTGTCCGTGTCTCCCCCTCCATTGGGGTCTCCTAGATAACATAACACACTCTATATACATCAACACAGGATACAGCAATGGTTGTGTAAGTGTCTGTTTCTAGAAACTGTCCGTGTCTCCCCCTCCATTGGGGTCTCCTAGATAACATAACTCACTCTATATACATCAACACAGGATACAGCAATGGTAGTGTAAGTGTCTGTTTGTAGAAACTGTCCGTGTCTCCCCCTCCATTGGGGTCTCCTAGATAACATAACACACTCTATATACATCAACACAGGATACAGCAATGGTAGTGTAAGTGTCTGTTTCTAGAAACTGTCCGTGTCTACCCCTCCATTGGGGTCTCCTAGATAACATAACTCACTCTATATACATCAACACAGGATACAGCAATGGTAGTGTAAGTGTCTGTTTGTAGAAACTGTCCGTGTCTCCCCCTCCATGGGGGTCTCCTAGATAACATAACACACTCTACATACATCTACACAGGATACAGCAATGGTATTGTTAGTGTCTGTCTGTAGTAGACCTGAAGTTGTATAGAGTCGATGAATAAACTCTCTGTGTCTCCCCCTCCATTGGGGTCTCCTAGATAACATAACTCACTCTATATACATCAACACAGGATACAGCAATGGTAGTGTAAGTGTCTGTTTCTAGAAACTGTCCGTGTCTACCCCTCCATTGGGGTCTCCTAGATAACATAGCACACTCTATATACATCAACACAGGATACAGCAATGGTAGTGTAAGTGTCTGTTTGTAGAAACTGTCCGTGTCTCCCCCTCCATTGGGGTCTCCTAGATAACATAGCACACTCTATATACATCAACACAGGATACAGCAATGGTAGTGTAAGTGTCTGTTTGTAGAAACTGTCCGTGTCTCCCCCTCCATGGGGGTCTCCTAGATAACATAACACACTCTATATATACATCTACACAGGATACAGCAATGGTATTGTTAGTGTCTGTCTGTAGTAGACCTGAAGTTGTATAGAGTCGATCAATAAACTGTCCGTGTCTCCCCCTCCATTGGGGTCTCCTAGATAACATAAAACACTCTATATACATCTACACAGGATACAGCAAGGGTATTGTTAGTGTTTGTCACTATCAGACCTGAAGTTGTATAGAGTCCATGAATAAACTGTCCGTGTCTCCCCCTCCGTTGGGGTCTCCTAGTTAACATAACACACTCTATATACATCTACACAGGATACAGCAATAGTATTGTTAGTGTTTGTCTCTAGCAGACCTGAAGTGGTATAGAGTCGATGAATAAACTGTCCGTGTCTCCCCCTCCATTGGGGTCTCCTAGATAACATAACACACTTTTTATACATCTACACAGGATATAACATTTGTTAGTGTTTGTCTCTCGCAGACCTGAAGTTGTACCGAGTCGATGAATAAAGATTGTCTGAAGAACTCTATGTTCCACTGATAAAACATTAATAAAACACGAGCATATTATGGAAGGCAATACCACAGGCTCAAGACAACCTGAGCTTCCGTCGATACCATCACACAACTGTTTTTTACACATTCAGCCTATTTAAGTCTAGCTTTGTTCTACTATTCAGTTGTAGAGGACAGACTGTCTTACTATCCAGACAGCGTACCCTTCCTATCTTATACGTAGATATAACTGTAAAACAATTGGGCTAGGACACTTCCGTCGAACAGGTAGCTCAGTCAGTTAGAGCGACAGTTTACCAGTCTAAATAAAATTCAATGATCGAGGTAGCCCCACATAGTTTTTTCATCAGAACACTATTGTAAATTATATTTTGTTAAAGTCTCAGTCAAGGTATGGTTTTTATTTTCAGAAATCATTGATGGTGGCTATAACATGCCAAAACGAATTTCCAATACTTAGTCACAGTTTTTGATAGTGATATGGGGATCCTAAAGGAATAGAAAGGGCGCTTTCTTTACAAAACTGTTCCAGTAATAGAGGCACTTGGAATAAAGAGAGATACACTTACACATCTCCCATGTACAACTACTATTTCAAGCTTTGGTTTTTGTTTTTTGTTCTATGTGAGTAAATGCAGTTTGCAGAGTGCTGCATTAACTGCTTCAAAACTGTTGTAATGCTGAACTTCGTATTAGCTTTACCCTGTAAATTGTGAATATTACCCAGCATCAACGATATTCTGGTATGCAGTATCAGATTACTTACCCAAGTCCTCGGACGGACACTGAGGTAGAAGATAGCAGGTTAGGATCTTACGTCCCGTCTCTTGTTCTATCTCAGACTGGAACGGGACGATGGGCCGCGTCTAGAAACAATACATACACCAGTTGGTCATGTAATATCAAAAAATAGTTCATTGTCCTTTTGATTTGATGCAACAGTAATTAAAAATGTAAATAATCATTTATTTTGTAAATTGAATGGTAAAAATTGCTGTTTATAAAAAAAAATTGTAAGCAGTTTAACAGCTATATTTTTTTTTATAGGAAAGTATGGTCAAACTTCAATTTGTATTGCCAGGTAACACTCCTGAATAATTTTCATCATCAGAGAAAATAAATGTAAAAGCATTCCTTTAGCTTTACACATTTTTGTTTGTTAAATTGGCTCGATTCATTTCACATATGTGGCAAACAGGTTGGTCAACATTGTAATGCATGGGGGATATAAGCTATGCAACTGTTCAATGTCTGCCAGAAAGCAACCCTATTTCATCAACGAACAAAACCGGTCAAACAAGTCAAACTATTTAATAAATGAGAGTGGCCACGGTTTGGTAGCTTGGAGGTACCTGGTTCTCCGACAGCCAGAGGGCCTGCAGCTCCTTCAGCTTGGTGATGGAGAAGGGTAGGAACTTCAGGAGGTTATCACTGAGGTTGAGGACACGGAGGCGTGGAATTCGTCCAAGCTCATCAGGGATGTATTCCAGTTTGTTACTGCGCAGAGACAGCACTGTGATCCCACTACAGCTTCCCAGCTAGAAACAGACATTTTGGTACATTTATTAATAGAATATATCACTCCTATGTGTTGTAGAAGAGAAATAGAATGTATCACTCCTATATGTTGTAGACAGAGAAATAGAATCTACAAATCCTTTGTGGTGAAGATGGAGAAATTGAATCTATCATTCATGTGTGATGTATACAGATAAATAGCATCTATCACTCCTGTGTGATGTAGATATAGAAATATAATATATTTTTCCTGTGTGATGTAGAGAGAGAAATAGAATCTATCACTCCTGTGTGTGTATTAATTGACAGAGAAATAGAATATCACTCCTGTGTGACGTAGACATAGAAATATAATATATTTTTCCTGTGTGATGTAGAGAGAGAAATAGAATCTTTTACTTCTGTGTGGTGAAATGAGAGTTATAGAGTTCTAGAACATCTCCTGAGTGATGTAGACAGAGAAATCACCTGGGGGTAAGAACGTATGAAGTTCAGCATAAGGCGTTTCCTGAGTATTGAAATCTATCTGTCTGAATCGCATACTTTCCTATGGTAAAATAAGTTGGAATAGTCAACCCAATGCACTGTGTCAAAGAAACATGAAATGTGTCACAAAATGGTGACACTTCCATGTTTACATCGCGTAAGAAGTGATGACGCAATGGTGACGTTTCGAGAATGATAGCGTATGTAAGCAGTCTTTTCCTACGTACCCTCCGTTGGGGTCTCCTAGTTAATATGTAAGCAGTCTTTTCCTACGTAAAGACAGGTTTATATGTAAGCAGTCTTTTCCTGTGTAAAGACAGGTTTATATGTAAGCAGCCTTTACCTACGTAAAGACAGGTAAAGACAGGTTTATATGTAAGCAGTCTTTTCCTACGTAAAGACAGGTTTATATGTAAGAAGTCTTTTCCTACGTAAAGACAGGTTTATACGTAAAGACAGGTTTATATGTAAGCAGTCTTTTCCTACGTAAAGACAGGTTTATATGTAGGCAGTCTTTTCCTATGTAAACACAGGTTTATATGTAAGCAGTCCTTTCCTACGTAAACACAGGTTTATTTTTTTCCAAGCAGAAATGGGAATGTACCAGTGAAGAGTGAAAGAAAGAAGCATCACGGGTTCGCTATTTTACTTCCCACATATATCTCCAGGACATGAAGATCCCATTCTGTTCTAATTTAAATATATGACATATTAAAAACAAAATTTGTTTTTATCCACTCAATATTAAATTTCCACTGTCATAATGGTTCATCATAAAATCTTAAATTTCAATAAAGAAATTGTGCAAAGAATATCAAAATTTGCATTTTCTGAAGTGAGATTATATGACATGTCCACTCTGTGCTCGTGGTTTTGAATTCCTGAGTTATGCTGTTCCTTTATTTTATCTTACAAAGTATGCTGTACCTGTGCTATTCCAGGAAGACATTTAAATTCAGTGAAGTAACTGGGCACTAAATTTTATCACAATGAAAGTTCAAAAGTGAAATAAATTATACGTAAAATTCTATTTCCACCAACATACCAGTATATCTTTAATTTTTATATAACAAGAGGCCCTGAGGGCCTGTATCGCTCATCTTCGGGCAGGTGAGCTAAAAAATGTTCTTGTACAGTATATGTGGTACATTTCTGTATGAGTCCATGAGTATGGCAGCAGGCTTTCTTGGTCCGAGTTACTTAGGTAAATCCAGTGCAGTGGTTACGAGATAGCAGTGTAATACATAACCCGGGCGTACACATTGATAATGATAGATGTGAGCGGTGGGTGTTTTGGGATTCCCATTATAATGCTAATTCAATGTAACTGATACACTTCATGCAACCCTATCAGGACACATTCAAATTCAATGAGATTCGTAAGAATCTAATTTGGGTATGAAACAGCATCTGTAATAAGACAAAACTGTTTTTTATCATGGATATTTTTTCTGTTGACAGATGTAAGATGTTACAGTGACTATCGTGTTATACCTGTGTATGTTGGCCATGTGTCTCACCCATCATGACCAACAGGTCAGACAGGCGGACACGCCTTCCCATCATGACAGACAGGTAAACACGCCTCCCTACCAAAGTAAAGTGTCGAATACAGAATCATGGAACCCTGATATACTATGGTCTTACCTCAGCTGGAATCATCTCCAGACAATTCTCGTCTGCATACAGTGTCCGTAGATTCCGCAGAAGTCCTAAGGATGATGGGAGATCCTCAAGGTCATTACGACTGACATTGAGCTCGGACAAGGCAGTCAGGCTAGAGGTACAGAAGGAAACTCGAGTTTTACATCCAGTACAGACAGTTTGACCGTTCTGTAAGGTTTCCTTTATCAGACTTAATGGTCTTGTAAAATACATTTCACTTCTCTTCAAAACACTGTTTGATTACAAGCATTATGACTTATAGCTAGCTCACTGAGCAGACAAAAGTATGGATTGGAACTCTTTGTAAGCAAAGATGCTTAAAACTGTAAACTATTGGAAAGCAGTTTTGCAAACAACTGAAAAATATTTAAAAACAACATAATTTTTTCAAAAATTATTCCTTTAGAAGTTTTATATTAATACTTTCACCTTTTCCATAAAATGGTCTGATTTTGTACACTGTTTTGCTGCCAGTGAAGTGAGACGAGTGGTCTCCCTGAACAGGTTGCTGATCATACAACTTACCCGCCAATAGTGTTGGGTAGGGACGTCAGCTGGTTCGCATCTACCTTCAGCGTGGTGATGTGTTCCAGATTACCTGTAACAACAAACCACAGGCTCATTCAAACCACATATTAAACAATTAATTCTTTATTGATTGGTAATTATATTTTTAAATACCATTAATCACTGATGAATCAAATTGATATTTTCTGTGATGAACAGATTTTCACATATCATCAAAACTCCTAAAACATGAAAGAGATGTATTTTCATTACAAAAATGCAAATCAAGATGTTTTTATAGCATTTTGAACACATCCGTTAGAGCAGAGATATGCATGCATCATTGCATGCGTAAATATTAAAAAAGGACGGAATGAGCTGGTAACAGTGGCTTGTTTCACGGCTCAGTGACTGCCAATGGATGAAATACAGATGTTATAGCTCTCCCCTATAGTAATGCTGTTTCTCTACATTTCAGTCTATGGGAAAATATCAATTATTTAGCTCTATTTTGTATTTCTCAATGACATTACAATGACTAATTGTTTTTTGATGAATTAGGTTTGAGTTACTGCTGGTCTAAAGGCCGCGGCAGTACCGTAGCATATTGCGGGTAGATCAGTTTTCATAACATGGCCTGGAAACAGCTGCAGTCACTGATCCTGCACAAGATACACCGATATTAATGATGGAGAACGACGTAAACCTAAAAACACGCAATTATTTTTACTTTTTTTTGACAACACCGGGCAACTATGTACTATATACACCACAGGTGTTTTCTTGACAAGGATCAAAACCTGATATTTTTCTGTATTTTTTTATTCATCCATAACGTTATGGGTAAACAGATATGAATTAAATAATTTCTTTGCTATTTATAGGAACTAAAGTAATTTGAAGTAATAACTCAGAGTTACGTGGAATTGCCACTCCCGTGTATAAGCAATATACACCTCATAGATTTTATGAATCAATATACAGAATGTGATGGGTCTAATCTGATATCCACTAATAAATTGTGCTAATCCTTTATTTAACTCACACCATCTAAACGATTGATAAACTAGTCATATCTGTCATGTCAACACCATCCCCTACTAAATATCTACAGCAATTTTAGGGGAGGGTGGATTATAAGGTGAAATCATTTATTTTCCGTATTAATCAAGGTGTCCCACGTAACAAGTCACATTTATCCTATACATTGTTAGGTAAGCTGGCCGATTTGATTATGCACGGATACAACTACCGGTAAAATAACGGGGTACTGATCTCATCGGTCTGATATCACAGTTGTGGTGCTCCCAACAACGCCCCCGATGTACACCCAACATATTTCACTTATAATGGTAGAATCCGTACACTAAAGCCTCTTCTACATATTAAACATCATTTTACATTCAATAAAGCTCTGTGTGTTTTCGGGATATCTGTCAATACACAGGAATGGGATATATGATGTGACTCAAGAGGTCTCCCTCCGTCTTCTGTCAACAAAGGTCCCACCTTATAACACCAACTACGTACAGGTAAAGTGTACCCGACCAAAACATAATATTCCTCAGGTGTGTTGACGAGTTTTACCATCTTCATGCACAACAATAACAAAAAACTTGTATATCTATTTACATGATATCTTCCTGTATATCATGTTATGATTGCAGGTTATGGCAGGTTTACCACCAGGTGATCGTCTACCTGCACGGTGTTCTACAGGTAAGATACCAATTACACCAAACTTACCCGTGATTCACCGGCACTGGCCGAGTACGCTAATTAAAAAGTTCGAATTACACAACTACAACATCTGTGTCATCTATCATTTCTCTAGATACACAAGATGTTCCGTGAGATTTCTCAGGAGAAATCATATCTGATGAAGTGTAAAGATATCATTTATGTGTAAATTGTAAATAATCTCATTTCTTTAAAATTCCAGAATCAGAGATTTCCAAATGTTGTTTTAACAAGATCATAATCTCTTTATCTATCTATACTGTAAGATCATATAACAGATACCCAATCTACCTGCCACAGACAGTGTTTTGGAAGATTTGTTGTAAAATAATTCCTAGTATTTATTCTTTGATTTGTGAATGACTGTATGACTGTATGGAGGCAACTCCGCAGGCTAGTCTCAGTGTATGTGTCATAAAGGCTTATTTACATTTCACACCTAAAGATCCCATTCCAGGTATTTGATACACCAAACATTGTTTTTTAAAGAAAAAAAGACTAAACACTTTGTACAGTATTTCCCAGGTACAGGTAGACACAGCTAATCAAACAAATCGTTTTTATGAAGACTGTCGGAGGGTTCGCCAGATAACCTGTTTACCTGGCGGGGTTATTTTTGGGAGAATTACACCAATATTCATGAAGATTTATTCGGGGACTGGTGACGACAGATAGACAGCACTCCCCAGGAAGTGTGTACAAGAGAGGGTGGCCACAGCAATAACCATGTCGTCATCTTCTAATTGAATAGCTTGGTCTGACAGAGGTCTTACCCGACATTGTCCTGGGAGAGCACCTTTAAAGACATTTTGATCCGATGAGCCTCGGCCATTTATAGGTGCACCTCTCTGTTACCGAAGGTAGCGTTAGTGTTGACTTAAAGGTATCATAGTATTTTCCTTATTCAATATGACACTCAATCAATATTAGAGGCCAGCCGTCCACCAGCAGATGGCAACGTGCTCTGCCAAGGCCCAGGTAAATCGTACGAAGGTCGATTAAGATTTTTAATAGCTCATTCCACAGATTTGCGTTTCAATAAAAAGGGATATTGCCTTCCCCAACGGAATAGGGACATAGGTATTACATGTGGCCGAGAAATGACGCGGACCAACCTTGTCCTGCCCACACTACAGGTACAGCCATACAGAACTCCTTCATGTCCTCATTATACCATAGGGTACGACCGTACCTCAAACCACCTTCTATAGACGATTTTCTGTCATGTACTTCTTGTCCACATACTAGTTAAGTTCAAAAACAAAACAAAAACATCTATTCATTCAGGAACAGACTGCAATCGACTTTTATATGAAATAGATTTTCTTAATTTTTCACATACATAATGTATACAGAAACTAATGAATGATATGAAAAAATTCCCAGCCATTCATAGTGAACATGTTCAATACACACGACAGCCAGGGTCGTGAATACCTGTCCCCGACACGGTGATGGCCGGCGGAGAATGGGCGACCGTTACTGTGTACAGCACATAAGATGATTATAATGAACTTCAGATCTCTGGCTCGGCTTAATGGACATTCCTCAGGAACAAAGGCACAACATTTTTATTGTATTTGATGAATTAGCTGTTAGTGTCATACTAATCATAAATTAAAGAATTATTTTATATTACACTACCACCATATAATCCAATACTTTTCAATAACCATACATGGATTCATGGTTATTCATGACTCGCTCAAACATAACCATGACAAAGTTAATTTGGCTCTGCACAAGTTTTTTCAGAAGATGTCCGATCAAGTATGACTTCGAACACAGTGAATTATCGGACAATAAATGTCTAGTTCTTCATTAATCTCTTGGTTCACCAAACCATCCTTCTCCTGAACTTCTATGTCGTTCCTTGCCTCTTTAGCCTTCTCCCATTGCCTGTCATTTCTGTTTACTATTCCTTTATTCTGTCATTTCCATTTGTCCTTGACCTATTATCTCTCATCCTTCTGTTCCACCATTTCTGATCATCTTTCTGGTTTTTGTTATTTTCATTGTCCTCCCATTCCAAGGCATTTCTATTCCTCCTGCTATTGTTCCGTCATTTTTAGTCCTGCCTGAATTCCCAGGTATACCTAATACTGACCCATGGGGTGGCAGTCCTGCCTGAATTCCCAGGTACACCTAATACTGACCCACAGGGCGACAGTCCTGCCTGAATTCCCAGGTATATCTAATACTGACCCATAGGGTGGCAGTCCTGCCTGAATTACCAGGCATACCTAATACTGACCCACAGGGTGACAGTCCTACCTGAATTCCCAGGTATATCTAATACTAACCCATAGGGTGGCAGTCCTGCCTGAATTACCAGGTATACCTAATACTGACCCACAGGGTGACAGTCCTACCTGAATTCCCAGGTATATCTAATACTGACCCATAGGGTGGCAGTCCTGCCTGAATTACCAGGTATATCTAATACTGACCCACGGGGTGGCAATCCTGCCTGAATTACCAGGTATACTAATACTGCCCCATGGGGTGGCAGTCCTGCCTGAATTACCAGGTATACCTAATACTGACCCATAGGGTACGTGGCAGTCCTGCCTCTATTACCAAGGTATATCTAACATTGCCCCAGGGGGTGAGTCATGCTTGGATTCTGTAGGTATCCTAACACTGACCCAGGGGGTGCCAGTCCTGTCTGCTATAGTTATCATGTTTCTACCAACTGTCATCAAAGTTTTCATTACAAAGAGAAACAATTTCATCAAGAATTGATATCTGAAAACATTTTAAGTATTGATTATAAATCATCAAAGTATGCTTGACAGCCGAATGTTGTGATAATACGTGTATTTGTTGTGCGATGGCCTTCAGTTTGTGACCACTTGGCTATCGTAGACCGTCTTTATTTATGAGCAGTGGAAAGGTATGTATGAAGTTGATTTGTCTTTCAAAAAGAATTGGAGTCGCTATTGAAAACTATATGTTTACAGCGAGACTTCAGACGTGCTGATTACTCCACATATTCTCCTTATTTGTGCGTCAAGGGTTTTTAATATCTTATCAGTCTGAACTGAAATTAGCTCTCCAAGGCCCACTAGAGTTGGCCGGAGAGAGGAGCACAGAATGGTATTTTGATGGCTGGGGAGCTGTCAATGGGTGTGAAAGGTTTTCTAACCTAATTAACCAGATGTATTCACCTGATTCTCACCTGTTGCGAGTTACACCATTCTTTGGAGTTTCCACTCCTCAGGTGTGTAACCAAGACCTATTTAGCTAATTAACCGCACGATTCACCCGACTCTCACCTGGACAGGATTAAGTACCCTCGAGACTGACCAAAGGCTTCCCAGGTATTAATGGTCAGTTTGACCGCGGCAC